CGACGCCGGGCCGGGGACCGCGGTGAGGAAGGACGCTAGGCGAGGCTGGGCCGGGGGCCATGGTGGGGGCCGAGGCTAAAGCGAGGCGAGGCAGGGCCAGGGGCCAAGGTGAGTGCCGAGTCTGAAGCGAGGCGAGGCGAGGCCGGGCTGGGGACCAAGGCGAAGATGGGGCGGTGAGGGTCGAGGCTAGGCTAGGGCCGGGGTCGAGGCCAGGCTTGGGACCGAGGCGCGGTGGGGCAGGCGAGTAGGGCTGCACTGGAGGTCTAGTCGAGGCCGGGCAGAGGTGGGGACCGGCGTCAGTCTCCTGTCGGGGCTCAAGTCGAGGTCAAGTTGCGATTGGGCCAGGTCGGGGGTCAGTCTCCCGTTTAGCCTCGGCCATGGCCCCGATCCTCCCAGGGCCGTCGGGGCTGGCGCCCGGAAGTCCGGCCAGGCCGCGGGCTCCCCAGGAAGCCCCGCTTCCTGCTCCGCCTCTCGCCTCGGGGTTTAGAGGACCAGGAAACTGAGGCCTCTGTCCCGGGACGCGGCCAAGGTCACGCGATGACCAGGGTTTGAGCCCAGTTCCTGTTTGCTCTGAGGATGGGACGGGTAGGGTGGGGCGGGGCCCGACCCGAGTTCCTGGGCTGTGCAGTGGGGCGAGGTCCTAGGGTCTGAATGGGAAATTCTGTGCAGGGTCCCTTTATCAAAGTTTGCTGTAATGCCAAGCTTGCTTCCAGGGCTCCTTGGCAGAGATGAGCACACTCTTCCGACCTGGTGAATCTTTAACTTACCTATAGAACGATGGCCTCACTAGCAGGACGCCTTAACACTTTCTTGTTGCACAATCCAGGTGGTTAGGGCCTGTAAAATTGTAGCTTTGTTCATAAGTCTTGCCAATTAATTACAGAGTACTTAAAATATTAGCTAGTCAAAACTCCGACGGCACTTTTTAGCTAGGTGGCACTCTCCAATTTCCTCAAAACACTAAGTTGTCGTTTTAAATGGATTGAGCGGAATTGCACAAGAAGTTATTGGCAGGAGAGGAGGGAATCCAAACGCTTTGGAGTGGTTTGGGAAATCACTGTTGAGAGCTGTGTAGTTGATGCTACTACTGGTGTTCCAGTGGTCAGCTCTACTACTTGTTTCAGAACTAGTGGTCAGCACTTTATTCTGCCAGCTGTTTTGCATGATGGGTCTTACCTTTCCAGCTGTGTGTCTGAAAGAGTATGAGTTGCTGGGGTACATTGTGGCCCTCTGCTGAGGCAATTCTAGTATCTGACAAATGGGGTTGTAAGTGTGTTGTCCTCAGAGTTTTCAGCAACCTCCACAAGTAGCCAAAACTAAGAACTTGAATGCGTGGTGTTACTATCTAGCTGGGTACAAAGTTAGGAGTAATTGAGTGTGTATGTTAATCACAAACCTGGCCACTTTATTAGAGTATACTGTTTTCTTCTCATAAAAGTTTTCTCTCCATAATGGGCAGAATGTAGCTGTGCCTCCTTACAGGTGTCACTGTCTTCAGGAATGTCCTGTCAAAAGTAAATCCTTATCACTTTGGCATTAGAAACATCCTATTCCCATCAGGGCTATCTTCAGATACAGGTATACAGAATTGCTACTTTAAAAAGACTTAAAATAGTTGGCTTGGATAATAGCTGACTCACATGCTGTCTGTTCACCACTAAGAAAGTTAGTAGAAAGCAAAAACTGGTTCTGTGCTTCTCACAGTTCTGGTTTTTAAATCGTGTGTTCTAGCTATTTGCTTTGCCTCTTGCACAATTTGAAGACACATTCAGACCTGCTAAGCTGCCTCTACCAAAACCAGATGGGCTTGAAACTGTAGGAAGGTATATTTTGATTTATCTGTAGATTTCAGTGGAATTCATTGTGTAGCGTTGGCCTCAGGGATGATATGCAGAGACAAATGGGCACAGGAATAAGCCTAACCAAGGGGAAAACTGTGTGCAAGTTCATCAATAGTATGTTAACTTGGTTTGAGAGAGCTGAATCAGTTTTCTTCAGATTTTCCAAATTGAATGCTGCTTTGACATACGCATTTAAATGTGCTTTTGCTCACGTAAGGTCAGCCTTCCTAAGGATTGTGATAGTTTACTGAGTAAGTGTTCAGACCCCAGCTAGCCTGGGCTTGCCATGCCATTCATGATTGTCTCTGCACATTGTCCCATGAACATTCTTCCCCTTGACTTCCAACCTTTGTAAATTAGGAGAATGAAAGGAAATAAAGTACACATCTGTCAGAGGTGGGAGAGAAACATGAATGAAAAAAATTTCATTTGGGATCTTAAAATTAGATAAGAACTTACTTCTTGCTCTCTATACTTCACTGGGGTGGATGGTATTAGAGGTGTCCTTCCAGGATCATCTAAAGTGGTTTTTTTTGAAATGATTTTGACCTACTACTGGGGTTGGGTATGACCTTTCCTACTGGCAAATAAAGGGAATATGTGAGTATGCGGGGGGGGGGGG